TCCCTAGACACGTCCGAAAGGATCGTTAGTCAAATGTATCGCGCGAAAAGTATCGAGGTGGTTTTCTTCATCGTCTCCTTTTTCGTCGTCGTGTCTCGCGAACGGTTCGACGAGAAATCGATAGCCGACGCAAAAGGCGACCGATTCGAAGAAGCAACCGCGGCGTGGCGGGATCGTTGAATTATTCAACCAGGGAGGCGAGGAAAATGTTTTGATTATGCCGAGCCACGGACGTGTGCATACGCGCGGTATATACGTTCACGGATTCTCCGCGCGCTCCGAGCGACCGAAATTAGTTGAATATTCGAATAATTAACGAAAATAGCAGGGAGCGCGCCGCTATTTGCGCGGAGTTTATCCGGGCCGCTGTGTGAAAAGTCGAGTACGCAATTCGAATTTCTTTTTTTCTTTTTTTTTTTTTTTTTTTTTTCAGCGAGAAGTTGGTCTGCAAAGTATGTCGGAACGGAGTGTTTAAGGGTAGCGAAGTGGGGAGAAAGCGATGTTGGTCGTTCTCTAACAATCGGGATTCGTTGAGGTGTAAAATAAAACGTGACTCGACGTAGAAGAAAGGAAATTTTGAGCTGCGGGAAAACAATTTAGAAAAGGGGAACGACGATCATTGGGAATTAACGTAGAAACAGTTTCGTGCGTGCGTGGTAGGAAAACTTAGCTTTGTTCATTGAATAACTTGGAATAATTTGGAACTGAACGAGAAAAGAATTTCGGATAGATTTTTTTATTAAACGGATAATTTAATTTTTAAACGGGTACCGTCGCAAATTTTTCGCTTCACGTTGTAAATATAATCTTATTTTATTATTAATAATATTATAATATTAATATAATTAATATAATCTTACGTTATAATAATAATCTGTGAATTGGGGGAAAAAATTCTGCATTTTGCAGGAAATCTAGTTTGACCCAGAGAAGAAACCAATTATCAGAAACTATTGCAAAAGATCGTATATCTATATAGTACAGGGATTTAAAACAAGTTAAAAAATTTAGTTTGGAGAATCATTCGGATACTACAACTAATTGGAAATATCACACAGTCCCTGTAATTACATTCAAGCTCGTTCTTGGAAATTAAAAACAGTTCGGATCTTTACAAACGTCCAACGCAAGATAAAAATTAAACGACAACGAGTTGAAAACAAAAATGACTTTAGACAGCGGTGTCTGAAGTTTCAAAAAAAGCTAAGGACAAACGCGTAACGACCGTTTCAAAGTTACCGTCGAAATTGCTGGTAAAAAGTAAAGACGACGAATCAAATTAACAATCAAGATGCGGCGTTGAAACTAAGCAACAAAGTTGCGCGAGCTATTCAATTGTTGTTTTTTTTTTTTAAAGTTACGTAGCTCCGTTTCAACGAAGCTCAAAAGCTTCGAGAAGCTGGGATCGCGGAAGGTCTAGAAATAGATTGCCGCTTGTGTGACTCTGAATGGCGTGAAGCTTAAAAGTCGACTGAGAATAAAAAATGGTTTCGCCGTTGGAGGCTTTGACATAATTTCGAATTTCCATTAACGCCTGTTTCGCCGTCAGATCGCCAACAAACTCTAATTCTCTCGTTTCGTATATACAACAACCACGAGATTCGCTCCTTGATCAAACTAACATACTCCATAATAGATATTTTATACAATCAAAAAGTAATTCCGACCCCACGTTTGTTGGAGTTGAGACACTGAACACAAACTCTTCCGCTGATGAATCATTTCCTGCTTCCTAATTTAAAATTTTTGTGCAGTTAAAATCCACGCGTGAAATGGAATAATACACAAAGTGGATTATTCGAGATCCATTTGGTACCAATTTATATTTGGTACTTGCATCTAACGTACGAATCAAATTGCTCGGTGATTTTAGCAAATATTAGCTCCATTTCATCTAACCTGATCCGTTTCCCGATTGATAACTACGATTTTATTCATTTGTAAAAAAATTCGACGTTGCAGGAACACTATCACAGAACACTAACACAGATACTCCGTACGAAATGAATTTCTAAAACTATGAATGTCCGTAGGCTATTCCTGCATTTAGCATTTCGAATAAAATTCCGCCGTTTCGATTCACCGAGGATTCAACGATCAAGCTAAATCAGCCTGTTTTTGCCCGAGAGATATTTCAGGGTTGGATAATCCAGAGAGAAAATTATTAGACGTCGAATGGGGCGGCGCGTTTTCGCGCGTGCTCGAAAACAAATGTGTGTTTACACGCACGGACAATATTCTAAATCAGCCGGCCCTAATTGCGAATCCGTGGTGCTGCCGTTCAAATTAGATTCGCTCGGTTTTCGTGGTTGGATGAAACGCGTGTGCAGAGTCAGGAACGCGCATCGAAAGCGGTCGCGTTAGTCACGAATCATCCGAAGCAATTTGTATAGATAAACGGGACCGTTCGTAACGTGACCAGCTTCGAGGAAACTTAATTAAACAATCGATAAAGAAACCACTAAAATCCTCGCGACTTTCGAATTGATAAAAAAAAAAAAAAGAAAAATGAAAGAAAAACAAAGAGGATAAAACAAAGTATATCTCTCTTGAACGCGTGTGATATACTGCGTTTACATGGACAATGATAAATTGCAAAATTAGTTATCCACGGAGTAGACAGATCTCGCAATTAATAATCCTTGTACTAGTAAATTTTGAAATGAAAGAGGATTAAATTAAAAATATTTATTGTTGCCTAGATACGATGGTAAATTACAAGATTAATAGACTACTAAGTTTAAAGGCTAATCAATATTATTATGATTATTAATTTAACATTCTGCGAATTAGCGAAATTAGCGAATTTTGAATTTTTAAAAATGATGAATCACATATTTATTTCTCTGCTCGAGTATTTCCTGCGGTTTACAATAAATTACAATATATTGAAACTGATGAATTATTAAATTTAAAAATCAATATCCCGCAAAACTAGCAAGTCAGTTAAGTCGAAGAAGAATTTATTTTCGCTTGAATACACGTGTAGCCGTTTGTGCGGCCCGAGGACAATGCGACGACCTGAAGAGCAAGAAAATGGGATAACGAAACACAGGTGACACCGTGTAACGCGTGCTCTACGCGTGCCCTACGCTCCATGTTTATCGACCGTGGCAGAAACTCTTCCAAAAAGACACGGGGTGTGGTCAGAAATTTTCCTTCTTTCCCCTTGTGTGCATGGTTCGCGGCCAAAGAAAATTCCTCGACTGCGCGTCGAGGTCACTCGAGGTCACGGATGACACAAAACCGATACCAATGCCTTTCTAAGACCACCTACAGAACGTCGAAATTCCCCTAACCTAGAGAAAACCGCGTGACGTTACCACCCATTTCCCACTCCGGTGTTATCGTTCGACTTTGACAACGATAATATTACGATCGGCGATGAAAAATTTGAAAACGAATGACCGAGGACCGTGGTGTAACTAATGAAATTGATTCTGACGATTCAACAATGTTCTTTTCGTGTCTTTAACCAATTTGGAGAATTAATTGAAGATTAATATTCACTCGTCGATTCATATTTGTTTTATCCAGTAGAATAAAAAAAAAAGTTACGAGACCGAGAGGACATTAAATATTATTATTGCGTCGAATCGCGACTTTTTCTTTCCCTGTTTCGCTTCGTACCCTCATTACTAACCTACATAAAAGTTGACGCAATCATAAACGACACGATTAAAGGGAAAAGGTACTGAAATATCATTCAACCGTGTAAAACATGGAATATCAAAGCGACGATAAGCCGCACCGCGAGGAAAAACGATCGAAGGGCAGGCAAACAAAGTACTGGCGAGATCTAGTGACTTTTAGGGACAACATCATGCAAGACTGCAACCACCTGCCGTCACCGAGACGAGCACGGGAGAGAATGCCGTGGAACGACCAAAAGAAAGAGAAGAAAAAGGAAAGCGCCTGATGGAACAAGGGATACTGGCGAGAGAGTGGAGCAAATGCAGGGGATGATCGAGAGGAAACAGCGTACAAAGAGAGGGGGGGGGGGGGAAGACAACGAACGAAGACGTAGAGAGAAATGGAGTGGCGAGAGTGCGAGAAAGAGGTCGCAGGAGGGGGATGAAGGTAAAAAGCGGCGCGACGACATCGTATTGATTTGGTGACAGATCCGCGTACGATGCGGATGCCTCGTTCTCGACGAGGTGAGACCACCACGACGGCACCAAGGCACGATATACCAAACGCCCCTGATGCTTTATATATAGAGGCTGAGCCACGAGCAGACTGAGCCGTGCTGCTTAAATATAGACGAAATCTAACGGGGTGTCTCCCGCGTGCAAGGGACACGAGCACGTATTACGGAACGAGGCGAGACGAGATCCGCGGCCGAGAAAGAGAACGGATGAACGTTAACGAGAAACGGTGGAAGCAGGAAGAAAAACCTAGAGGAGAAAGAGGCCCTGCATACGTAGAGAATAATCATGGCCGACGACCACGGCGCGGCGCGGCGCGGCGTCGTCTGCTAGGAGAATCGCGCTCCTCGCAAATCGTCACTCGCGTGTTCAACACGACATCGTGAAACGCTATCAACGGTACCAACTAATTGACGACGCAAGACACACAACAAACGACGCACGAATATTCTCGCGACACATTCAAATTCGCGTGTAATAAAAACACCACAGCAAGAAATAGAAATATACACGAGCGAAGAGAGAGAGAGACAGAGAGAGAGAGGGGGAGGGAGATAGACAAAGTGTGTATACATTCTAAAGGTAAAGAAACGGAGCAAACACGTCGTGACACGCGGTAACGTTAAACCAATCTCTCTCACTCACTCACTCACACTCTCTCTCTATCTCTTTCTCTCTCTCTCTCTCTCTCTCTCTCTCTCTCTCTCTCTCTCTCTTTCTCTCTCTCTCTCTTTTTCGTTTTCGCCCTACGTTATTCATACACATTTATACACACACACATACGTCGTTCGAATGACGGAGTGTTGTATTTTATTTTGTTTTCTTTATTATTTTGGGTTTTTTTGTACTTACTTGCCCAGTTCCTCCTTGAGATCGTAGTTGTCACTAAACCGCGTGCAAGCGGTCGGAGTAGCCATGCCGAGGTATCGCGATTATTTACCGCACTAACCGAGGAACGTAAGCGCGAGAGCCACTGCCGGCCGCCACTACCGCACACGCTAGGGGAAACTTCGCAGGTCAAATTCGATCAATAGAGGGGAACCGCCGCGGCGCTGGTAGAACACCGGGTAACCGTCGCGAGGGAGGGAGGGTCGTCGGGCCGGGCAGAGAGGAGGTGGTTCTGTCCGCGGGAGCCGTGCGTTACCGTGGGCACCGAGACGGTGGGGCAAAATCGCGGTCGTGCCAGCAAATATCTGCGGGCCGACGACAACTTCAAATCCTTCCGCGACACGTCCGCACTGCTCGCCGGCAGACCGTCGACTGACTCGCGTAGTGGTGGTAAGCTCGCGATCGCGCAGGAGACGTCTGCCTGTATGTGTGTGCGTGTATGTTGTATGTTGTGTGTGTGTATGTGTGTGTGTATATGTATTTCGCACCAGTGCCGTTACCGCCGGCAATGGCGACCACCGCGCACGTATATATACTTGGTGACGACGATCAACACCGATACCACTGCCGGCAGGGCTGACGACGGAGAACAGGGTACGCTAGCGAGCCGTTCGAGCGCAGCCAACCTAGGCGAAATAACCCAAGGGGATCGGGGCAGCACATTTAAATTTAGCACCTGGAATTATGCTCGGCCACGCGGCTAACTTTTTCAGGATCACGCTTCACGGTACAATTTACTTTCTGCTCTGTTATAGTCTCTCTCTTTCTCTCTGTCGTCGAACGCAACGAACGTCGCTTTCGTTGCGCGAACGTACTTCGATTCAACGGCGTATTTCCGGTCGCGTTGCTTCGTCCGTCCAACTCGTCCGATTTCTCAACGTACTTCTCCGCGCAATATAAACTTCACGACGGAGAATGCGATTCGCGACTGAATCGAGACTACGATCGACTTTCTCGCAATATCGACCAACGAGAATCTCGCCACTCGAAGTTTCTCGCGATCCGAAACGGCCGAAGGAGATTGCGTACCGTCGCTGGTTAGACGGAATACCGCGCACTGACTCGATTCCGCATGTCCGACATAAACACGAGATTTACTACTGGCGCATACGCCGTCCGAGCCGAAGCTTCGGTATCATTTCGATCGGGTTTTTGGCGCACGTCCAATTAGAACGATACACCGGGCATAGATCTCGAAAGATTGAAAGACGAGCGAACTCGTGAACACGAATTTCAATTTTACGTTTTAAAATTTAATTTTAATTTTGATTGTATTAATTATTATCGTTAATATTACATACAAATAGTATATTGCACATGTATGTAACGTACGTTGATATACAAGATATTTTACGATATTTTTATATTTTGACAATTTAACAAATCATTTGATACATTTACATTTCAATTATAGCCATTGATGTTTTAAAAAGAAAATCTTATATTTTCGTTAAGTGTGCATTTTCTGTTGAACACATATTGCAGTAACTTAATATGAATAACATGTGTATATATATATATATATATATATATACACATTTATATATTTGTATTTATATTTTCTAAAAGTTTATTTATCGCTAGATATATTGCGGAAGATATTACATACGACTTTATAGGCAAAATTATAAACGTTCGCGTCTCCAACACCTCGACTAATCCATATAAAAATTTATTCCTTGATTATACCGAGTCCGACAAATGGAAAACTTTCAACAGCAAAAATATAAGACTACCCTATAAATCTCAAAAATTATCATTTAGTAAAGTCCGTCTTTATACAACAATTTTGTTTCAACTTGAACGTGCATATGTATATATCACATCGGTAACAAAATTCGCGCATATAAGTTGTCAATATATCTTTCATAGCAAAACTTGAAGAGAGAGTATCAAATTTCCAATATCTCTTTTAAATACTGTACAAAATACAAATTTCTGAAAGTATACAATAAACACCATGAAGCGATAACCATGGAGGTCATCGTATTCATAAATTGCTTGCGTTTCTGATGATTATCTAATCTTCTATATCCATTACGGTTGCTTTTTTCTATCTCGATTGAGATCTACGAGATACACACATCCCACACGCATGGGAACACTTTCTAGAGCAATCACATGTAAATATCATGGAGCTCACGATACAGTTTTTCTTTTTTTTCTTTCTATCGCAGTCTTAATCTTATACTTGATCATAAAGAGATAAAATCACAATTGATCTACGATCTGAAAAGCGTTGCGTTCTCTTCCACTCGTTTCTTATCAATTGATATGAATACGTACAACCGTTAAATGCACATGGAATCATTGGGAGCTTGTTTAATGTAATTCCACGTAAGGAACGTCTTCGTTGAGTTTCTTTCTCTAAAGTAAACTGTAAGATTAAATATATAGATTAACGATGGTCCAAATGGCTAATCTAAATAGTTTCTAAATACATACTTGCTAAACACGCTCTCGAGCGTACATAAGAAACTGCATCTATTCTACTCATACTGTAACACGAGCCCTATAATTACTAAGTACTTAGAAACGTATTAAATATAGTCGATGATAATTTTCATGTTATCACGAGAATATCACGGCGTATTTTGAAAATTGTTTCTTCCTGTGTCCCTGCTATATATATATATTCGCAGTAGTTATAATAAAGACATCTTCTCACAGTAAGTCGTCGGAGTTTCAAATGAACAACTGCGTTTGGATAAATGCGTTCCTGATGATTGTTGTTGACGTTTTATTCGACCGTGACCGATTTCGCCAGATTTCTCGGACAATCGACGTTACACCCGCGAAGAACCGCGATATGGAAAGATAGAAGTTGCATTGGAATGACTGTGAGGATTCCTTGAAGGCAATCTACTGTTTTAGGCACTTCAAGAACTCGGTCTGCAAACATTTTCGTTTCTTCGTCCCCTTCCTCGCAGATAACGATCGGCTTGCCGTCTCTTGCTGTAACCTGTTGTAGAGCGTTCATGCATTTCTGAAAAATAATTATGAAATATCATTATCGTAACCATGTTAACATTGGGTAACCACGAGAAAGTTTAATATGTTCCACTTACCACGTAGACTGGATCCCTCATGACGATCATTATCACTGGCATTGAATCATCAACGAGCGCCAGTGGGCCGTGTTTCAATTCACCTGCCATAATACCTTCGCTATGCATATACGTCAATTCTTTAACTTTCTGTAAAAAAAAAACAAGATTATTTAAATAAAATGAATGTAAATAAACTTAGAAGATTAATATTTGAAATATGAACAACAAACCAGAGCTCCTTCCATACACGTAGCGAAGTTATAGCCTCTACCCATGATCAACAGCGATTTATGTTGAAATAGAGACTTGGCCAGTTCTTTGACTTTGTCGTCAAGTTGAAGAACTTGGCGAATGAGATTATCCAGATTCTTCAGTCCTTCGATAATCTGTTAGATCAAAAGAATTACATACTGCAACATGTTATACTTTTTTTTAAAAATACATCAAATAACTGATTATAAAAATTTATAATACCTCTTGACGTCGACTACCAAGAGAGATTCTGTCCTCGCTCATAACCAAAGCAAACATAACGAGAGAAATGAACTGGGAGGTGTAAGCCTTGGTACTCGCGACACCAATCTCCGGACCGGCGTTTATGTGAACACCACAATGTGATTCACGACAGATACTACTTCCCACCGTGTTGGTGATGCCAACGATCAGAGCTCCACGTCCTTTGCAATAACGCAAAGCCATCAACGTGTCTGCTGTCTCACCTACGAAGCAAATAATAAAACAACAATCATAAATTTCACATACACAAATCAATCGAAAAGTCAAATGTATCTTACCAGACTGTGAGATGAAGAAACAAACGTCATCTCTAAACACTGGCGTGTTCCTGTCCAAGAAATCAGAAGCCAATTCGACCATAACTGGCAGCTCGGTTAATTCTTCCAAAAGTTGTCTGGTAGCAATGGCAGAGTGGTAGCTCGTTCCACAACCAATGAGCATCAAGCGTCTACACCTCTTGATCTCCGGAATGTAATCCTATGAATGAAAGATCAGTTAGAATCAAAAAGGAAACGCTGATAAAGGATTAAACTGTTGGAAACTTACCTTGATACCTCCCAACGTAACAGAGTTGTCTCTGAAGTTCAAACGACCTCTCATAGTATTCACCACGGACTCAGGCTGCTCAAAGATCTCCTTCTGCATGAAATATTCGTAGTTACCCTTCATGATCTCTTGGATCTCCATCTTCAGAGTTGTGATTTCTCTTGCATGGGGATCGTCCATGCATCGGCGAAGGCGATGGATGCTGAGAGCACCCTCTTTCACCGCAGCTACGTCATCGTCCTGACGTTGAAGAAAATTACGATTATTTACATCGGGACATTGAAATATAAAATATTCCAATAATAATTAACTAATAAATAAATAATCGAAAAAGATGCTCACCTCCAAAAATATTACACGATTCGTATGTTCGATCACAGAACTCGCGTCAGAAGCGAAGAAATATTCCACTTCTTTGTCCTCCAATGGCTGAAACTCGGAAGTACTCTCGCTGCGTGGCATAACTGGAAGCTCAGTACGACCATGTGGACGATGATCTATCAAACATTACAAATGAATATTTTTCCACTATTGAATAGTAAATTAATATCAATATCAACGAATAATTGTCCATTGTTTTTTTAGCATATGTACATTTTATAAAGTTACATATTTATATACAAAATACTTGGACTCTTTGAATAAGAGGCTGACATACCAAAAATAGCACGACGCAATCGAAAGAATTGGAAGATCGTTCCAAACGATGTTTTACGATATGATATTCGTCATTATTCAATTGTACCTTACTACTACATCACAGATAATTTTTATGCAAATTCGTAGTTTTGAATGCCTCGGTAGAAAATTGATTTATAACTAAATATTATATAAAGTACCGTACCATGGACATTTTAGATATTTTTCCATATTATGTGTATTCCTTTTTCCACTTTAAAATTTCCTATGAATGCATAAAAATCTGCAATCTGTTAATTACGCATGCAGATACACATATCCAAGGCCCAAATTCCACCATTTAAGGAATTAAGGAATATCAACGATTGCACTTGCGTCTTGCCATTTTTCTGTTTTTACAAGCTCCACACCAAATTAGCCGAGAACATGAAAAATAAATGTAATAAACGTATAAATCAGTTCGCGTTGACTGGCATTAAACAACCGCCAAATGATGATGGCTTCGCTAATTATTTATTTAAAAAAAAAAATAAATAATAATAAAAGAAAAATTAAAGGATATCTTGAGAGGAGGGAGAAATTACCTGTTTAATAAATTAAAGTTTAAAAAAAATGGAAAAGAAAGAAGAAGAAGATTTGTTCGATCATAGCGTTAGATATGTATTATATATATATATATATATATAAATATATTTTGCCCTTTCTGCAACTTCTGCGTTTCCATACATTATACATACTGAAAGAAATACGCATTCTCTCTGTATACGTACTGAAAAGCGGTGTAAGGCACGTGCCATTTACCTTAAATTCCACAAGATAGCGTGTTGCGATCCGATCCCAGGCAGTTTCGTGCTTAACAAAACTAACACACACAGCATGTTCGTTTTCCCTTCTTTTTTTTTTTTTTTTTATTTATTTATTTTCAAAGCATGGATATGGAGGAATCGTCGGCAAGCGGTAAGAAAGAAAGGCACATATGACTACATAAAGTATTACCTTGAGTGGGCGCTTCACCTTCTGCTCAAATTTGGATGCAGGGGTGATGAAAAAGAAAACAAAATAATTAACAAAAACAAGTAACGCAGCAATAAAAACAGCAATAAAAAATACAGTGAAGGAAAAAAAATAGAGAAACGTGATGCTGGATACATTGGGCTTCTATGATCGAATCTCTCTTGCGAACGTTCAGCTCTCGTCGGAAATTTGGAAAAAGACGTTTAATATTTCTCTTCTTTCTTTTTTTATATTTTTCTTTGTTTTTCACACGTTGACTACCACGATGGTCATTGGTAATAAATATCATGAGTGATTTGATATAATGCGATATTTTAAAAAGATTTTAATAACTACGTAATACTAAAAAATGAGAAATATTGTAACATAAAATTTTATGAAAGTTAAATATTTTTCCATATAACAAAAGGTAACAAATTTCACCAGGCAGATAAATTTTATTTTCAAAAATGTTTGAAATGTATCGGATATCTTTCTCCAAATTTTTCTATGTGAATAAACGTGTATATAATCACAAAGCTACAAATGCATAAGCCTCTGCCGAGTGTTTGGAAAGAAAATAAATTTGATCTGTGTAGATGTTGCTGTTTCGTTATCTTCTGTGATTGTACTCTGCTTCTGCTTCGCTATGGTTCAAAGCAATTCGAAAAATGATTGATATAATACAGTTTACAGAGTTCCTTTTTATGATGATTTTCTCAAGTGATCATGTGTACAGACAAAAATTGAGCGAATAAAAAGCCAATATTACGTTTGTTAGATAAATCGGCAAACAAAATATTGTAGATGAAAAATATTTTGTTAAGAAGTATGAATTGAACTTATTGAGAGTGAGAATTATAGCATGTAAGAAATAAGAAGCGAAATTAGTTTTCATGCATCTCTCAAACAGTGGACCTTTCGTGACTTTAACACTAGAATAAAATAAAATAGAATAGAATAAAACATAAAACTTTAGGATAAAATAAAGGATGGGCAAGATTTTATAATGTTCGTACAACTACTTTTGTAATATTCATTTTACAAAAAATTATTCACGTCTCTGAGAGAAACGTTTTTAAACGAAAAGCAGTTAAATGAAAATAAAATTAAAAAAAAAAAGGTCCAAAGTTGAGAGGAAAAAGTAAGACAAGTGTATAGTAGTGTAAAGACTGTAGTGTATATACCTTTATTTACGCGTGGAGGTTCATCTGTCGAGACGAAAAGTTGAAGAACATAACCATTGGTGTTCATGCAAAAGAAACATCATGTAATATCTATATAAAACTTGGTCACCGATGAGGTATTACATGCAGACGATTGTCTCGTCGACAATTGTTCAAGAGAACAAATGATAAATATATAACTTGAAAATGAACAAATATAAACAACATTACAAAACAACATGCCATTTTAACGTACTTAAGTACAAGTACAATGAAACGTCAATTATCCGAAAATTGATTAAATAAATGTAATATAATTCATATATTTGTGATATCTATAAATCTAAATTCTACATCCAATTCATTTGCTTTTATTAACTTTGATGTTTATATTTATATTTATATTTTGATAATCATTATGACCACGCAAGTATTCTTACTATTTCAGATTTTCTCTAAATTCTTTAACAGCTTTCAGAATTATTTCAAGTAAAATTTATATATCAAAATGAATTTGTCTATTACAACATAATCCAGATAGTCGACATTTCACTATACTATTGAAAAATATTGATTACTCGGTTACAAGCAGCTATCAAACAAATATTAATATCCAACTCCTGGTGTTAACTACTTGTTAGAAGATACTCTCACCAAAGTATTCTGGCATTAGTGTCATTTGTATGTTAATCGTTACTGAACAACAGTAACATTCAACGTACACAGATCTGCGTCAATAGAGTATAAATTATGCTACTGAGAGCACCGAGGAGAAACATAAAAAAAAGGATGGTGATGTAATGATGCGTCTTAGTATATTGCTCCAAACTACACGTTAATTACTTAAAAGAATAGACAAGCTGTAAATTGAAGACACATGCTGTTAATATACCTCACGTCTGATTCTTACGGGTAAAGAGGCCGTATTTAATTTCATATTACTCTGAGAATATTTTCATCGCAATCATTGTTACCATGTACATAGCAATCTCCTTGCAAGGAGAAAGAAAAGGTAATTATCGTCTAACAATTAAAGGAAAGGGTATGTGAACTCTGGTTCGTCTTCTCCTTGGAGGTAATAAATGAAAAAAAGCATATACAGTGGTGGACAAAAGGAAATTTAAAGTTTGACATTTGTCTATGATCTCGTACGAGAATTAATAGCTTTCTTACTAGACATCTTTTCATTAACATTGTATTCTTCGTCACAACTTTAATTATTTTTTTCCATTATTGAAATTCATAAAAAGTGACCATTGACAAAATACATGTTTGTCGCGTATTAATTTACGAGTTTAAAAAATGCATCAAGTTCTGGACGATTGAAAGCAAACAGACAAGAATAAATTTGCAGGCGACAATTATCATGAATCTTGCATCGAAGTTTAATGTATCCCAAACAATAAAGTGTTTATTTTATCTAAAATAAAAAATGCACGAACTTCCCGTTCAATCCAATATATTAGGTTTCTCATTGCTTTTGTCGAATATATAATTCTAGATTATCTCGTGGGATTTGCTCTTTAAACTTTCTTCTGTCCGCCGCAGTATATCTACCTCGTAGCTCTCGGCGCCCGAGCGACCAAAAATAGCCTTGTGATCTCTTCTAAGGTCTACCAAATCTCTCTATACCTCTTTCAATAACACGTTAATCCCTCGCGTGTCAATCGTGTACGAACACGTTCGCTGGCTTACCTTTTCCGTACAGGATGGGCACGTGATCGGTGGCCAATCTTGTTTTTGTCTTAATACCGACGAGCAACGGTGATCCTCTTCTCGTCGCCACGCATTCAGCCGGGAAATACTTGCTCTTGAAGCACAGTGCAAACGCACCTTCCTACAATTTCAATGTTTCCTCCTTTTAGTACATACATTATAATGATGATATATCTATCATATGTAATAATAACGTGAATGAATACAATAATAATAATAATAATAAATATATAACACACTTGTTACGTGGAAATTAAATAAAGGAAAGATTAAGTTCATTCCCTATCTTATCTCGAAAGTTATCTCCAACATTATTACCAATGATGATATTGTTACTACTAACAACAATAAAATTTACAGCTGTACGAACGATCAATTATCGTTGAGAATACCCACCAGTTGTTGAACAACTTGCTCGACCAGCTCGCGGAACGAGTAAGCCGGATGTTGTACCCAGAGATGATGGATCAGCTTGGCAATTACTTCCGTGTCGGTTTCACTCTCGAAGCTGTAGCCTCTTTGCTGAAGCAACGTCTTCACTTCCTTGTAGTTTGTCACGATACCTTTAGAAAGAACGTGACTTTACAATACAATGGGGATAATTTCTGTTAACTAAACTGCCGATGTGAAATTGAAATTTAGTAGAATAGCAGTAGAGTCTAAAAGTACCAATTTGTTTCATCTTTTAAATACTGCACGAAGTAGCATTCTATATTTTATATATTTTATTCGTTCTCTTACTTACATTCACATTTTATATATTCATCATTGCATTCGAATTTATATTTTACCTGTGCGACTAAAGAGATTTACTTCATCTTCTAAATATTATATGGAACACTATTCTTTGGATACTTTATATGTTTGCATCAAAATTTGCATATGAATTTCACGTAGTAGTCAACGTGATAAATATCTCATTGGCAGTCTACAGATAATTGTTATAAAATAATATAAATATAAAATATAAAAATATAAAATAAATATAAATATAAACTATAAAAATATAAAATAAATATAAATATAAAATATAAAAATATAAAATAAATATAAATATAAAATATAAAAATATAAAATAAATATAAATATAAAATATAAAAATATAAAATAAATATAAATATAAAATATAAAAATATAAAATAAATATAAATATAAAATATAAAAATATAAAATAAATATAAATATAAAATAAATATAAATATAAAATATAAAAATATAAAATAAATATAAAATAATATCTGTACCATTGTGCACCACAACGAAGGCGTGTTCGCTGTCGGACCGCTGAGGGTGCGAATTCACTTCAGATGGAACACCGTGAGTCGCCCAACGAGTGTGTGCGATACCCACGTGGCTGTACACCTTCGATTCAAAGTCGATATTGGTATCTGTGTGAAAAACACACAACGATCTCTTTAGAAAACTGATCCTACTTGCAACGATTTCTTTTTCATATTTATCTTAACAAATTTTCGTTATCCATTACACTGAGGTACGTTATTGTAATGTAAGTGGAAAATGAAGAGCAGTTACGATAATATACTTACGATAAAAGATCTCTTCTTCGAGCGCCTTGACCTTCCCTTGCTTTTTAATAATCGAGATATCCTTGCCATCGGCGCTGTCAAGGGCGACACCTGAATGAACATAAAACTTGCATTGGGACAGTGTCTCTTTCATCGGATTTTTATCAGCTTGCCATGCCCGAGGAACGGAAAGTTCAAGTGGAATTTAAAATTCGATAAAAATTTTCTCTCCCACGTTGGTTTCCTTTCTTCCTCGTGTCGATTGCGGAAGATCATTCGACAACGGGATTCGACGATCTCTACGTACCTGCCGAGTCATAGCCTCGATACTCCAGTCGTTTTAATCCACCAACTAGCAATTCGAGAATTTCCTTTCTGCTCTTCGGCGTCAAATAGTTGAGGTACGCGAAAATTCCTAGACAAAAGGAAAATTTGACATTTAATCTCTTATATTATTTATTGTGTTAAACATTAACATTAAATATTAATAGCTTCGATTTAAAATGAGAATTTTGAACATGAAAAGTCATTCGTCACTTTCGATCATATTTTCTTAGACATAATGGAAAATTTATTGTTTCTACGTTAGAAAATTATTCGTGTTATTTTTAATTACATTTCTACGATGTGATTAAAAATCTGGACACAAGGGGAAAATTTGTCGTTTCGTTTGTTCTTGATTTTTATTACGTTAGAAAATCATTCGTGCTATTCGTAATTTACTTATGCACCACGATCAATTTTCATCAAATTTTCAACGCATACCGCTAGGCTAGAGTAGGCACTAGAGATTCGAAATATCACTTCAAGATTACAATGAGTAAAATGAATTGCTCAACAACCACTTAACATTTTCAACAGACGATTAATCATCGTTTCCACTCCGCGTCTTTTACCATTCTCTAAGAGATAGAGAACGATACACCTTCGATACATTCATCGACACAGCATTTCTCTATCTTTTGGCATTTTTCCACAACGCGTTCACTGCTCGAAGGTCACTACACGACGATGAAAAAGACGATTCTCTTTATTGGCCAGTTCGTTCTCTTTATCCTTTATCTGTATTCGACGAATTCTCGGTGATTAATTAGATTCGTTCAAAATTTTCAACGTTTTACATTTAAGACAAACTTGCTTTAGGAAAATTGAACAGAACATCATCTATTCTTTTAATCATCGGTTTAGTAAGAGACTACACCATGATTAAAATTGCAGGAAATTTCTTCTGAAAGCATTCGGATTAAAGTCCGAGAAAATAGAAAAGAAAGATTAATATGTAAATATGTGAATATAGTATACACTTGGAATAAAGATCGTTTTATATAAAATCGAACACGAATCAACTCGCGGCATACTCTTAACTGATTAATCAAAATTAAAAAGTTGGAACGAAATTTAAGGAGTGTTAGCAATTTTAAAATTAATGCATTACACACGTATATTGATATGCATGTACTATCGTATATAATGTTTTATTATTTATCAGCATCGAGTGTGACAAGTTGAACACCGATTGTTCGACTATATCAAAGTATTTAAGTATCATAAAAGACAAACGATCGATCCTCAAGAGTGTGTTATTGATTCTGTATTGTGAAAAGAAAAATTGAAAAGGGAAAGCAAAAGTTATTATCTCTTCCATGTATATATACAGTATACATTTATGTATATATATATATACCATTCTTACATATATATACTATTATATATACTATTATTCTCTATATATACTATTTATATACTATTATACTATTATACTATATATATACACTATTACATATACTATTATATACTATTTATATACTATTATATATATTATATATATACTATTATACTATTATACTATATATATACACTATTACATATACTATTATTCTATATATGAATACTATTATATACTATTTATATACTATTATATATATATATTATATATATACTATTATTCTATATATATATGTACTATTCCATGTATATATATATAGAATATGAGCTAAACTACGTTCAGACAGCAAGAACACGCAAGACACTGAAAATCGATTTAAACTCAATGCTCGTCTCTCGACGAAGTCCCCACGTAACAAACAAAATTTTTCATTTGTGATTAGTCTTTTCACATTCTTCCCTGCTGTTTTCTTTTTTTAACGACGATTTCTCGCTCGAGCAACAGTACGATCGGAAACTTTCGAATCGGCTCAAAAATTCCGAACGCCCCGCCTCGGAGGAGGTGTGCGCGTATCGGTATGAGAGAGGCTCCCCCCTCGGTTAGGTATTGCAAAAATGCAAAAAGTCGTCGCCCGTGAACACGAGCCTACGCGAGGCGTGCAAGTGGAAACAGGTATAATTCGCGATACACGTTTATAGGTGAAAGGGAAAGCTCGCGTGTACGTGCGACCGAATGAAATGCTCGTTAGAAACGACGACCGGGGAACGCCATTTCGCTCGTCCTGCGCTTTTTGCGAAACACAATGAACACATGCGTTTAACATTGAACAGATCGATGACTACGATCATTGATAACATTGACATGCGACATCTCGTTGCTCGATTCTCTGTTCTTTTAAATTTAAAAATCGAACGAGTCGAAATCTGATTGTCTTCGGAGGATCTGTTCGAAATTTGATCTATGTGATGCGTGTTTTGCTAGTGTCTGTAGATTATAGATTGAGTTTTATAAATATTTTATAATATATTTAATTTTAATAATAAATTGAGTTTTATAAATATTTTATAATATATTTAATTTTAATAATAAATTGAGTTTTATAAATATTTTATAATATAATATCTAATTTTAATAATAAATTGGGTTTTATAAATATTTTATAATATATTTAATTTCAATAATAAATTGAGTTTTATAAATATTTTATAATATAATATTTAATTTCAATAATAAATTGAGTTTTATAAATATTTTAGAATACAATATTTAATTTTTTAATAATAAGTATTTTAAAACATTTCTATTTTATAAATATATGTATTCCAAAGGTGGAAATTCTATTGCAGCGACTCTAGTTTGTAATAAAAACGTTTCAGAAAAAATTCGACTGAACTGTAAGATCGAAACAAACAGATTATATAGAAGTTTGATAATTCCTATTGAAGAGATATAGAAAATCTCTCTTTAATGATCCTAGCTATAAGAATGATTCAGAATTCTAGAATCTACACGGAATGTGTTGTAAGACCTAGCGTTGTAAGACCTATATTAGTTGGGCTTCGAAAATTCTTTAAGGATGTTAGAATTCTGCGCGAAATAAAATAAATCATTTGATTCCTAAAGAGTCCTAAAGAAATTAGAATTTCCTAAAAGTGTATACAAGACAAAGTTAGATAGTTGATGTCAAACGTTGACGTCCAGTGTTGGACAGACAACTTTGTATAAAGTTACATTTAGGATAGATGATCCGCAATTCGATCGTTCGATATGCGACTCCGTCGCGCGCGTTGTTTTTACCGCGGGAATTTAAGAGTATCAAGTTTGAAACAACGGCATCGTCCTCGATTTAGAAAGGCTGCACGGCCTTTAACCGACGCGATAATTGTTCCTTTCTTTTTTTTTTTTTCTTTTTTTTTTACAACTCGTAAAAATGATCGAAATTTGTAGTTCCTTTCAACCACACAAAAAATAAATAATTATTAGCAATCTGACATTTTAACTGAACAGCATTCGACACATTGACTTGTTACCTATTTACGTACTTAATAAGATACCTTTAAAAACTCTTCGAAAAGATTTTTATTAACTGATGATATCATTGGGCAATTGGAAACCACGACAATTGAGTTAACTTTTACGATAAATCTTTAAAACCTGAAACCTTTAATTCAGCTGAACTTCAATTGCAAATTCCCATTCACAGAGAATGTCGAATAACAATTCGCGCAGCAACGAAATCAAAAATTCTATATTTTATTTATAATCTAACGTGAATTATAGCTGAAACCTAACTTCACCTACTAGATTCCTTGGCGTTAGAAAAAATAAGAAATGGATTAACTTGTCATAAATTATAATTAAAGATCATAGAGTATAGAAACCCGAGAGTTTCAGAAGTTGAAAAGATTCTGTGTCTCGAAAATATCGAAAGACCAAAGTCTAAAACGATAAATGGAAACAATAAATTGCCCGATCGATTTCAGAGGATGAAACTTATATCATGAAAGAACATGTGACTGTTACATTTTCCATGCTCAAAGTACACGCTCTGATCGGTCCAAATCGATCGTTGAAGCACGCTCCCTTCTATCTGAATCGATAGAAATCGACGCACGCCAATTTTACCGATTCGCCGATTGTCGCGGAAACGTGCTACAAGCTGAAAACGTGTGTTCGAAAAAACTTTTACGAGACGAAACATTTCGAGGAGCAGCAAACATCCCAATGCATTTCGTTACCATGTAGTTCACTTAACGATCCGATCGCCTCAAAAATAAACCAAACGCTGTAATCGACGCTGTATTGTTCGAAATTTATTACGCCTTAAGGTAACAACGACAATCACGGATAAAAAAGAAAAAAAAAAAGAAACACCGCGATTATCGCAGCTATACTCTACTGTAATATTAATTCATTCATCGACACGACAGGAAGGTCACGGGAACTCGAAAACCATTTCACTTAGAACTGAAGAACGCGGTGGAAGAATGCTCGAAGATTAAACCTAAGATTAAAGTTCGAAGATGATCAGAGAGAACGACGACAATGATAAATTATTGAAATTACCACCCATCACCAGCAGAATCGGTTTATGGTGAACGCCGGTCGTCGTTCGTCACTGTCACTGTGATGGAACTCACGAAAAATGAGGCAAACGCGAGCGCATAGTGCATCGTGCCACGTAAATGTAATTTGATTTCGTATCGAGTCGACAATAGGCTATCGAACGATCGCATCGCGATTAGATTGCGTTCTGCAATTGCGTCGATAAGCGAGCAACACCGATAGAAACATATCCTGGCGGTGCTGCGCGAAGGGAACAGAGGAAAGAAAAGAAAGGAACGTGCTGTGTATGAAGTTTGCTTATTTGAAGAGAATTTTAATCAACGCTTGATCAAAGGAATTTTATCACATCCGAGCTACGATTTATCTATTGATCCATTAACTGGAATGAAAATCGTCAATGATCGGAGGGGGGGGGGGGGATCAGCCTCTCAAAAGCCTTTCAAACTAATCAACCTCGTTGGCTCGTCGAAAGGGAATGGTACGAACGAGAATAAATTATGGTGACACCCATCACTATTTTTCTGTGCTTTTTGGATTTGTGGAGATGATCAATGTAGCTTCTGAACAGTGAACTGTGAACTGTGGAGAAGTATTTGGTAGGTTCTACATTTCACTTTCTTAGTATTTATAATGTTTACTGCTGTATAAAAGTACCATTGAAATCACATAAATGTGCTTGAACT